ACAGCAAATTGCTCCTCTGTGCATGCATATTAATACTCCCACAACTAGTTAGATAATCAACATATAACTCCTTTTAAAGTTGAGGGGGGGAGAACAAACCTGGAGTCTATTTATAGCAAGAAGATGGAGCATATTGTGCATTTGAAAGTACCTGTGTCAGCACTGCTTTCCTTAATAAAGCAAAATTGACAAGAAGCTTTATCAGCATAAAACATATTTTGAAATTCATAATTGGCGTGGCAAAGAAGGGATCCATCTAGGTAGGAGGATTTAACCTTGGTGTGCAGTATTTTTGAACAAAATAGAACAGCTAATCTGCCACATTTTGAAGGGGAGGGAGAAATACCTCTTTCTCATGGAGTTAATTCTAGTAAAAATAAAGAGGATTGTCCATTGACTGAGAAATGTATATGAAAAGCATGTAGCGATATGATCTGCAGTTGAAAACCAGTTTTCAAATTATTACAACAAAGCAAATTAACAGAATACTTATAAAATAGCATAAACAAAGTTTTTAAGGCAAGCAATGTGTGTGTGTGTGTGTGTGTGTGTGTGTGTGTGTGTTTGTGGCACAGGACTAGCACACAGAGCCCCACTTCCCTACACAGATTCAGTTTTAGAATGTCTGAAAGGCTTCTATCTATATGATACACAGGTCTGGAAATGCATTGTTGTATTCACATGAAACTTTGTTGGTTATCACTTTAAAACATTATACATGAATAGGACTTCAGATGAGTAAGACAAAGGTATTGTTCATATGTCAGGATTGCCAGATCACACTGTTGTTTAGCATCATTTGCACAGATTAGTAGTCTAATTGGTGGCATGTCTTTGGAATCAATTCACACACACACACACACACCATTAAAATATGCTTTCTCATTCACACTGAAATAGATATAGGAGCTGAATTTCATTGTGATAAATATTTCTTAACCATTCTCCGCAGCAATTGCTCTCTGCCATTTTCTCCTACACAAAGTAAGGTCATGAAAGCACGATACCTTGCTGTTTTTTATATTTTAAGGCTAAAGACCTGTCAGAGACCTCAACGTTTAAAGGAATCTTCAAGTGCCACCTACTGGTTCATCTGGAGTAGGTCAACCTTAATTTCACCCCTTGTCTGGGTTATGTTAAATTCATTCCCCTCCCTCCCTTTCTGAGATTCAGAGCTATGATACACTGGGCTATTTCAGAGTTAATGATTTTTCAATCCTCTAGTTTTTGTAGCAACTTTCATTCCCAGAAAATGACCACACCACACCTCTGGAGTTCTGACCTTTCAGTATTTATACATTTACTGAGGCAAAAAATAATGATGATGCATAGAGCAAAATATTATTGATAAGCTTCATCTTTAAAACTTGCACAAATGTGTGGAGCATCCATTGCTGATAGAGGCCTGGGAAAGAGTTTCCAATGCCTTCTAGCTTTTTTCCATAGCCATTGGAAACTCAACTTCCTCACTCCACAGCAGCCATGAACACACCACATGCACCTCAAGATCTTCAAGCTGAGGACTTTGCCTGTTTCCATTATGCCTCCCTACCACTGCACACACACACACAACTTCTTTGCAAGAATATCTTACAGTTAACTTAGACTGGGCCTCTAGTCAAAGGAATTGAATGAAGTCTGCCTTGGCCCACCTTCAATTCTTCCTGCCTCTAAGTTGATTGATGCTGAAGCTTCAATCTTTGCTTGTTAGTGCTCAGCTTCTGGAATCCCCATTTTCCCAGCAGCTCTACAATCAGCATAGTCATGTGTGGACAGAATTATGTCCTGAGACATAATTGTTTGAATACAGATGCTCTAGTCTAAATAAAACAAAATAACCAAATATTCTTCCTCAGCCCATTTGCTCTGCTGTTTTGTATTATTTCTGGGTTTGTTCCTCTGGGTTGCCTTCTCATAAAGCTGCCCGACAGTCTGTGCCTTTGATGCAGCCATCCCAGGGTGAGAAGAAAGAAGAAGAAGGAATTCTAGCTGGCAGATCTGAAATACTTCAAAAATATTCCATGCTGTTACATCACTAAAAGCTCCTCTAGGGCATCTGTTGATTGACCATTCTCCTGATTTGCTTGCACAAAGCTTGCGCAGAAATCAGATTATATTCTGTCTTTATTGACTATTCATTCCGATCTGTTTGTGGGGAGCTTATACAACAATGAGCATTCATCCTGATTTGCTTGCAGGGTGTTTATACATCTTCCTGCTAATCATTCATTCATCCTGTACTTTTCAGTGCATTTCTGCATCACTTTCCAAGTTGCAAAAAGGTCTGTTTCCTTTTTAAAGTGGATTTGTTGTGTTACAGTGACAGAGCACTTTAATCTACTTCAATGGCACCAACTTAACTTTCCTGGAATGTGCTTGAATCCTGCCCACAAATTGCTGACAGTCTGAAGGTGCCCTAAGGAAAGAGAATACTACTTAAGATGTGAGTTCCAACGAAGCATTCCATCTACTTTCATTGAAAAAGACACCATGAATTGAAAGTGGAGACACTACATCATGGGTAGGCAAACTAAGGCCCGGGGGCTGTATCCGCCCCAATCTCCTTCTAAATACAGCCCGTAGATGGTCTGGGAATCAGTGTGTATTTACATGAGTAGAATATGCCCTTTTATTTAAAATGCATCTCTGGGTTATTTGTGGGGCCTGCCTGGTATTTTTACATGAGTAAAATGTGTGCTTTTATTTAAAATGCATCTCTGGGTTATTTGTGGGGCATAGGAATTCATTCATTTTTTTGTCCAAAATATAGTCTGGCCCCCCACAAGGTCTGAGGGACAGTGGACCGGCCCCCTGCTGAAAAAGTTTGCTGATCCCTGCACTACATGTACTTCCCCCTGTTTATTTGTTTGTTTTGTAACACAAGAAAACCCACAATAAAAACTAATTTTAAGAAGGTCCTAGTGAGGCCTGCATCTCGCTTGAAGAAAGGATGAGGTAGCAGTGGAGAGACCATACTTTATGTGCACTCTTTAACCACCCCATTTCCACACTTGAAAAATTATTGCTGAATATAGTGGATCACACTCAAATTCTTCCTCTCCCCTTGCTAATGAGTAATGAGTACTTTGCCAGAATCTAAAATAGAGTAGGTGCCCACAAATACAGTCACTATATCTGCTCCTTTTGTGACTACAGTTACAGAAGTTTGCAAACTTCCAAGACATATTTCTGTTAATTCCATTCATGGTAGGATTCCGTAGGCATCTGCATTTAAACCTTCTCCCTGCTTGCAAAGTGTCCTTTGTCTTAGCCTTTCACACCCATTCCTCAGCAGTTCACCATCCATCTGCTGCACCATCCCATTTTTAGTATTCAACATTCGCAATAAACAACACCAGCAAATTTACAAGGCTGCTTGCTTCGCTAATGTTTCGATTAATCATCTTCTCTCCCCATCTGTTTCCGTTCAGACAGTTCAGCTCACTCTATTCATAATTCACAGCGTGTGAAATTCAAGAGAATTGATCACATTCAATCAAGTTTCCTTCCTTCTACAAAAGCTTCTCTCCGCTTCCCCACATCTCATCCAGGCATATTAGACAATGGGCAATCTCAAACAGGCACGTTGAGGGGTTGTCAGAAATCCCACTTGGATGTATTGGTAATCCTACAAGTACCCAAAGGAGCATGCCTTTTTTTAAGGCTGTCAGCTGATAGAGCCGCCTGCGAGGGCTCTGGATACTGCCCACCATACTTCTAAAAATATCCGGCATTGTCATCTTTGGCAAAGCATACTTCTATTATTTCGTAAGGTCCCAGATCATAAAGCTCCCTTTAATTTCTATTTCTCCTCCACCCACAGTTCACAATGTTGGTTTATAAATTCTCCCACTCCCACCATCGCTTGTAAAAATATTGCTTTCAAATGAACTTTAAAAATGAATTGTATTCAGACCCTGCTTCATCAGATCACTGATCCAGCAGAACTCCTCTTATGTTCTTAACTTGCTCTGCTGCTCTAAGCATAGCAGAGGGCTGCATGTCTGCTGTGGTGTTCACAAAGATACCCTTTGTCTACTGAAATAATAGGTGTGCAGTTATTCCAATGTTACATCATTTGTATCTGATGTGGACTGTGCAAAATAATCAGATATGATATTTTACCCCCCAAAAAGTGAGCTGTACAAACTTGTGCAATGTTATCAGTGTTCCTTATGTGGTAGACATTGTTCCCTAGAGAGTGGCTGTCATCCCCTAAATGCCTAAGCAACTCCTCATAAGACTGGCATTTTTGGAAAAGGCAAAACTTCCATAACTTTTTTTTAAAAAGAGCCAGAACTTTACTTCCTAATCTTGGAATGGGTTCTGTGGGTAGGGTCCTTCAAGCTGAATCTGGGTTGCACTGTGGGCCCAGACACATTAGATATAGCCAGCTTGCTGTGGTCTGATCAAAAGTAGAAATAAACCCAGCCACACTCTGTTACAGAAATCACAGTATGATGCCAGGTGGCCACCAGTGAAGCAAAAGGTATATGGCCTTGGCCTACAAGTGTGACCAGCCCACACCCAGCTGCTGTGTTTCTAGTTGGGCTATGCACTGGAACTCTCTTTGCTTCCTCAAGAAAGAAAGATTTTTACTTGCCCTGAGGTGAAGATGTCCGAAAAAATAAATGTCTATGTTCTTCAAGCCATATATAATCTTCTAAATGTGTGGTCCATGGAGAATTTTCAATGACCAGAAAGACGTTTAAGAAAACGTGGCACTTTGGATTGAAATATCTCAATTGCTTTGTCAATCGATTTTTAATACAGTATTAAAATTGGTTAAAACAATGTACCTTGGTGACAACAGTTGCTACGGCAACATTGGCTCCCATGCCAATTTCATAATGCGTGAATGTTCTGCATCATTTGAGTATCCCACATGGCCTACATCCCCCTTTCATGAGGTATGCTCACGTTATCTAAATTTTCCATATGTCACCAGTATGGTGCAGTGGCCATTCAGAATGGAATGGATTTGCCTTGGCACCATTTCTATCCCAGTTGGCTCAGTTGGTTACAGTGTGGTGCTGATGATGCCAAGGTTGTAGGTTTGATCCCCGTATGGGCCAGCTCCATATCCCTGCATTGCAAGAGGTTGGATTAGATGATCAACCTTCCAACACTACAATTCTATGATTCTATGATCTCAGCACCACTTTCTCCTTTGTTTTCTTTCTAGCCTTACAACTAACTCTAAATCCAGCACTGAGCTTGTGAATAAAGAGTCCAATTATTTATGGACAACTAAGACTAGTGTGCTTTACCAAAGATAATTAACGGGACTACAACTCCACCCTGTAGAGAAGCAAACACAACAGGGTATTGGTGCAATATAAATTTCTCTTGTTTATTGCACTGTATGAGGCAATTCTGGAGAGGTGGTTTATCTTCATCTATATTTAAATCCTTCTTGGACGTCAGGAAGAGGAATGGGAGGCAGGTAATGAAGGGGAGGAAGCATTAATTTACAAAGCACCACTAGAAAACTCAGCCTTCCCCAACCTGCTGCCCTCCAGAAGTTTTGGACTACAATTCTCACCATCCCAAACCAGCACAACTGATGGGACTTATCATCCAAAACATCTGGAGGGCATGAAGTTGGGAAAGGCTGGTTTGATTTTTCTCCCTTCATTTCTCTCACGGTTGTTGTTGTTAAGCCCAGAGTACAGATTTCTACATTGGCCTTAAATAATGTGCCATGAATGCTAACTTCCATCTCAGTTTCCATTATACTGATTCCATTATGTTGCTTCATGTGTTGTTGTTTTCCCTCATATAAAATTCAAAATCAGTCCCTGACCCTTTTTTCTCTGAGCATGAAAAATTACAAAGGGGGTGGATCAAAATGCAAAGCAGCTTCCAAATTGGAAATGGGAAGCTGGGGAAACACACCATCAACCACTAATCTGAAGGAATCTGAAAACAATTGGATGGGTATGTTTATGAGGAACACATGTATGTTCAGTTGAGGTTAAATACATCTACTTGGAAATCCCTTTGTTTAGGACTGCAGGTATACCTTACATCAAGCCTGAATTCACTGTACAGGTATGGCAGTATTGGGGGGCCACTGAGTTGTTGGGTCCTGCATGAACTGTATTGTCCCCTCGTTGCTGTTCCCACTTCTAGGTACACACTGGCAAATAGCAACCCTATTCATTTACAGCCTGGGAAGGTCACTACTGATTAGGTTGCCTTCAGCCTCAAAGAGTGTCTGTGTTTGCCAGAGGGAGGTGTTTGAATTTCTATGTATAGGTTGCTAGAGCCTTGGGGAAAAAGAAACCGAGGCAAGGAAAAATACAGCAAGTCTTCCAGTATTAGAGAAAGCTGCAAATCTGTAGAAATGATAAGGAGCTGAAGTTTTACTACTTCAAAACTTGAAGTTTGTTATTTCAAGGGACAAGAACAGTGCTTTCTCTTCAAAGAGGCTGAACTGACACTGAAACATATGAGCAGGATCTGTCAGTCCGGACACATGCACTCTGTATTCTCCATCTTACCTTTACTCCCCTTGTAGTTATTCACACAAAGCATACAACAATTGGACAGTCTGTGTACTTGTGTCCATGATAGCCAAGCTGTACAAATTAACAGCTGTACACTCTTTCACACAAATATTTGCACACGTGTAGGGACAGCTTGTACCTGTGTGCAGCATAACCTGTGAAGAAGCCTAAGGTCATGCATGGTGAATATTCACAGCCTGATTCAGACATGCCTGTGCACTACGATATCTCATATCACTCAGTAACTCAACACTCAGCCAGTGTGCAAATGAATCTGTGAACTTCCTCCGGGGGGGGGGGGAACATGTGTGCAAAGTGATTTCAAGATATATATGAATGCTCTATCTGTAGTGTTTAGTCAATGACAGGCATTTCACACATGCAATATATCACTCAGCATTGCTGCCATTACATGATGAACACATAGTGGGTGAACTTGCCTAGTATTTTAGCTATTACTAGCTGGGTATAAAGTACACAAAAGGTGGAGTAGTTTACTTCTGGGGAGGCGCCTCTGGTAATGGCTGAATTCCTCTGACCGGGAGGAATCTGCTCCGTGGGAATCTGGGTCTGGCCGCCACGGCGAAGGCGGAGAATCGTTAAAATCACAGGCGGGAGAAGCCTGTGAACGTGGGATTCGGCGGGCACCTTTTGCGCCTCCCCCACTCGTGGGGAACCCCCGTTTTTGGGGCTCCGGAGCGACATGGGGTGAGCGGCGCAGTGCATCGAATCATCTGCTTCTTCCACGGAGCGAAGCCGCATAGCTGTTGCCAGAGAGCTCTGACCTTTTCCTGTGGACAATTTGACTTTAAAGTAATTACCCGTGAGTAGAGCAGAAGAATTGGATTTCTAAATGTTTAATTTGGTACCGTAACGGGGAGGTTCAAAACAGGAAGTCCGCCTCCCCCTTTTGTAAATAGACTGAGGCAATGAAGTTGTAAGCTGGAGTCCTGGAAGGTCTTTTGTAAAAGATCAAAGTTCCAACGGTAAAGAACATTAAACCCCCTCTTGGAGGCAGGAGAAGAGAGGGGGAAGTTGCGGATTGAGTATGCCTGCGGGAGAGAGCGAAGAGACTTAAAACACCGCCGCTCTGACCCTGGAAACGGGCTGCTAGTAGGACTGACGTCTTTTGGAATGTTCATTGACAGCGCTTAGAACGTTCATTGACAGCTAGTTAAATAAGAGAAATACGTTGTTTCTACTGTCTCCGGCTGCTTTAAAAAGGAGTAAAAGTAACTGAAAATTGAAACTAATTTGAAACTAATTTTGGATTGTTTAAAAGAGGATACTATTGACTATTACAAATAGAAACTGTTTCCCCCTAGTGGAAGCCTTTGAAACCGGTTGCTTTACAAGAGTTGGACTAGGGGAATTTCCAGCTGCAAGTTAAAAACCGTGAGACTCTGGGACTGAACTTGAATCCTTTAAATGGTATGGTAAATGGAAGAGGAAAAACAGACCAGTAAACTGCTGACAAAACATTAAGGTCTGGGAGGACTTGGTAACAATCCAGGAGAGGTCTATCATTAGGCCCTCCTGTTCTTTCTGTTGCTGTCTTTGTGCTAGTATTTTTAAAACTAAGAGGAATGTTGACAGAAGAGGCTTTAGTGGCTGCATTATATAAGATAAATGACTCATTGGATCAGCTTCACAGGAAAATGGACATGATAAATGCGAAAGTGGATGTTTCAATTACTAAAATTAACTTAAATACAGAAAGTATAAATAATACCAATACAGAAACCACCCAGAAATCGATACAGGAACCTATTTTGATATGGCAAACTGCAGAGGAAGCCAGGGAAAAAGCCGTTGTCGCTGAATGTGGAGTAACACAACTGGAGAGAAAGAGAAAGAGAGCCCCAGCCCTACAGAGGCAACTTGAGGAACATAAGTTGACGCTCGCTATGACTGAACTTAAAGAAAAACAGACGAATTTGAGGATTAGAGTTCACCTTTGGTGGACATGCCCAAGGATTAAGACACTCTGGGAGATGATTCATAATGAAATGAAAAAGGTATTTAAATATACCCTTTTGAAGAAACCAGAGGCCTTTCTCCTGGGCATGGTCAGCCAATTGGTGTTAAAGAAGGATAGAATTTGTTTCATGTATGCAACAATAGCAGCAAGAATACTCATTGTGAAGTACTGGAAGACACAAGATTTATCCATTCGGGAAGAATGGCAGATGAAGTTGATGGACTATATGGAATTGGCGGAAACGACTGGCAGAAATCCGAGACCAGGGAGAAGAGTTGGTGGAAGAAGACTGGAAAAAGTTTAAGACTATTTATAGAAATATTGTAAAAACAATGAATGTTAGAAAAATGTTGGAATGAAGTTATATGGCTTTAGTAGAAATGCTATAAGGAATCAAGTATAAATAGATTAATAGTGTATTAAAGGGAAAATAAGGTTAGAATATGTTAAGATAATTATAGGATAGAAAACAGAGGAAGATGGAAAGGAATTGCTGAAATAATTAATAGAAGTGGAAAACAAAAAGGGAGGTGTGAGGAGGTCGTGGAAATAAGGGAATGAAAGATAAGACATTGAAATTGTTCTATGTTTGAAATGGTTTGTGTCTTGCTTTGTTAGTTTCATGTTCTTCTTTTTTTTGTTCTTTCTTTTTTTGTCTTTCTGTTTTGTTGTGTTTAAATGGTTGAAAATTAATAAATATTATTTTAAAAAACCAAAAACAAAAGGTGGAGTAGTTTAGAAGCATATGAATTGTATCAAGTCCAGCCATCATATCAGTGATTACAATAAAAAATAGTGTAAGCCTACACCTTCTAGAAACTGAGAAAGCATCCATGTCATTATTCTGTCCAAACCTTACATTTTAAACAAGAAACAAACAAAAGTTTATTCTAAGAGCTTTCAGCTCAACTAGGCTGAATATTGTTTCCAGTCAGTATCAGCACTGTATTTATTACTTTTATTTTTATTATTATTTTAATTCATATATCACCCTATACCCACGGGTCTCTGTACAGATTGAATATATTTTAACATGTTCAATCTGTACAGAGAACCAACTCATATATGCAATCATTTTCTTATTGCCTAAAACTGAAATATTAAGACATCTCTGTGAAAAATAAAAAGATCTGCTCTTTAAAGGGGAGGGATCCCTAGGAATAAAATCTTGAGAGAAAAACATACTAATCTTCTTTGACTTAAAAGTAAATAGGTATAGAACCAGAACAAAGCTAGAATGAAAATAAGCTGGGCACAATAGGCCCCACATCCATCTCTAGCAGGAGAATTCATAAAATGCCTCTCTCATTTACATAACCAATTTCTTTACTTTCCTGTTCTCTACTGATAACAATAAACAACCCAATATTAAACTCTCTTGGAGCTTTTTCTGCTTCTGCTTCTTCATTGAAAAAAATAAATCCAAATGAGAGCCGAATCTTGTAATTAAGATGGGAAGTGAAGCTAACTTCCCTCTCTCCGTTCCTAAGTTTCATTCCAATCAATTATTGCCTTTATCACAACCTGCCTTTGATTACAACCTGCCTGTACCTAATTCCATTAACAGTGAAATCTCCCTACA